TTTTAAAAAAGTCTTTGGGGGGGGGGGGGAGGAATTCTAGTTCCCTCTAAAAATTTTCAACGGTGTCAACATCAGCGGTAAAACTTTTTCGACGTTTATTCATGAGACGAAGAAAAAGTCTTGAGGAAACTAGAATTTTTCGACGGAATACTTGTAAGAAAGCGACGGGAAAGTTTCACCGGCGGGAAGAAAACAAAGTTCGTTCATCGGCGGAATACTTGTAAGAAAATTGATGACTTGAGATAAAAATAGAGTATGTAAATTTATATATTGTTGTTATTTTAGGGTAATAAGTTTGTTGTTAAGCTTATAAGTTTGTGGTGAAGGAATGTTACGTGTTGGTTTTGATAGTTACGAGTTGGTTGTGAAGTTTACGAGTTAGTTATGAAGGTTACGAGTTAGTTGTGAAGGTTACAAGTTGATTGTGAATGTTAGGAGTTGGTTGTGAATGTTACGAGTTGTTTGTGAAGGTTACGTATTGTTGTGAAGGTTACACGTTGATTGTCAATGGTACGAGTTGGTTGTGAATGATACGAGTTGGTTGTGAAGGTTGTGAGTTGGTTGTGAATGTTATGCATTGGTTGTGAAGGTTATGGGTTTGTTGTGAATGTTACTAGTTATTTGTGAATGTTACGAGTTAGTTGTGAACCTTAGCAATGAGTAATTGTGATTGTTGTTAACTAACATTCACAACCAACTCGTAACCGTCACAACCAACTCCTTACCTAGGTTCACAACCAACTCGTAACCTTCACAACAAACTCATAACATTCACAACAAACTCGTAGCCTTCACAACCAACTTCTAACCTTCACAATGAACTCGTAACATTCACAACCAACTCGTAACTTTCACAATTAACTTCTTACTGAGGTTCACAATTAACTCGTAACCTTCACAAATAACTCGTAACCTTCACAATCAACTCGTAACATTCACAACCAATGTGTAACTTTCACAACCAACACGTAACCTTCACAATCAACTCGTAACCTTCACAATCAACTTGTAACTGTCACAACCAACTCGTAACCTTGACAACTAACTCGTAAACTTCACAACCAACTCGTAACCTTCAAAACGAAGATGTAACCTTCCTTCACCACCAACTCATAAGCTTCACAAAAAACTTATTATCATGAAATAACAACAATATATAAGTTTACATACTCTATTTTAATCTCAAATCATCAATTTCCTTACAAGTATTCTGCCGATGAACGAACGTCGTTTTTTCCCCGTCGGTGAAACTTTTCCACTGTTTCCTTACAAGTATTCTGCCAAAAATTTCTAGTTTCTCCAAGACTTTTTCTTCGCCTCATGAACAAACGTCGAAAAAGTATTACCGCAGATGTTGACGCCGATGAAAATTTTTAGAGGGAACTAGAATTTTTCCCCCCAAACCCATTTTAAATAATCACAGTAACATCATGGGGGGAGAGAGAGAGAGAGAGAGAGAGAGAGAGAGAGAGAGAGAGAGAGAGTATTATGGTCTTCACATGTTTTAAACTCTTAGGTTTTGTGTTTTGGGGGCTCACGGATTTATTGTTTTACTTTTGGGGTTTTTGGGAGCGTTGAAAAAGTATTGGGGGTTGTTTTCGCCAAAAGTCGAATTTGTTGTCGAATTCATTATATCTTCGGTCGATTACAATAAATTCAAAGAAAACAGCCTTTTTATAAGACTCTTTTACACAACAAAAAAAAAATTACAACTCTTGAGAAAATAAACGCAGGATCGTTGTTTGGATCACTGCTTTCGTGGGATCTTTGCCTGTGCCGGGAGCGCTTTGACTCGTGGACCACCAAGTCACAGATTCTGATTGAACCGTGAGGGGTTTATGATTCTGACTTCGTTTATCGAAGTGAGAAATTGAAACGATATCTTATCGATGTAAGATAGTCGTTCTTCTTGAAATCAAGTCAAAGCTCAATTTCAAGGATTGGCCGTAAGATCAGCACCTCTGCTCTCTCTCTGCTCTGGATTGCTCTGGATTGCTCTGAAGTACTCACAATGATCAGCCCCCTGGGAAAAATGGCCTTAGGAGGGTATTTATACCTCCAAGAACAGTTGGCAGAAAACAGGTTCGCGAGACAGCTTTTGCTGTCTCGACGGGCGAGACAGTGTTTGCTGTCTCGTAGAGATGAACCCGATGATGGAGAGGAAGAATTTTATATTCTATCTCCTGGTCTCTTGTTTGTTGGTAGAGATGAACCCGATGATGGAGAGGAAGAATTTTATATTCTATCTCCTGGTCTCTTGTTTGTTGGTAGAGATGAACCCGATGATGGAGAGGAAGAATTTTATATTCTATCTCCTGGTCTCTTGTTTGTTGGTAGAGATGAACCCGATGATGGAGAGGAAGAATTTTATATTCTATCTCCTGGAGTAAAGAAACTCAAAGTGGGATCTCCACTTAGAGAATCTGGATTGGTTTGAATAATCCTAACTGTCATAAGGTTTGATTACTCAATTCAAAAGTAAACCTTTCGTTCGCAAAAATGAATCGAAAGGAGATTTTGGTTGTGGTCCTAACTGTAGTAAGGTTTGACCAAGTGGGAGTTTTGAGACGATCCTAACTGTTTAAAGGTTTGATCGTTCAATTTGTGGACCTCTCGTTCATGGAACGAATCGAGAGGGGATTTTGGCTTTGGTCCTAACTGTTTAAAGGTTTGACCAAGATGGGAATTTGAGACGATCCTAACTGTTTAAAGGTTTGATCGTTCAATTTGTGGACCTCTCGTTCATGGAACGAATCGAGAGGGGATTTTGGCTTTGGTCCTAACTGTTTAAAGGTTTGACCAAGATGGGAATTTGAGACGATCCTAACTGTTTAAAGGTTTGATCGTTCAATTTGTGG